TAATAATAATATATATATATATATATATATATATATATATATATATATATATATATATATATATATATATATATATATATATATATATATATATACATATTAAACTAGTGAAGTTTGTAGCGCATTTTCTGAAAATTGAAGAGATCCCATAAAGCGTCAGAGAATCTAATTATTATATTTCTATGTAGATAGGTTAATTTTCCAGTGAAGTGTTTTAGTATGAACAAAATAAGTAAAAGAAATATCTAACTCCAACAATAGCAGGCTTTCGACTATTTCCACGGGATTTGTAAGTTTCTCGATGAATGATCTACACAAAGGCTCATTCCCATAACGTGCACAGGCTTCGATAAATGGCTAGAAATAATTTTAACAAGTGATGATAAACATGAAGGGAAAGGTTATGATACATTGAAAAAAAGTAGTATCAAACAAAGAACATAATTCAACTTACCATGTAACTTGTGAGAACCTTTCTGGACCTGAATAAGCTTTCAAGATGATGCCATAATTTATTACGAGCATAGCTTTCAATCTTCCATATGTATAATCTAGAAAACGAATATCGAATTATCACAATCCTTTTAAACTTTACTACGGTATCCGCTTCTTCGCATTATTTAGACATCACTTTGAACAGAGTTGTAGAATTGTTGAAACAACTATGAAACTACCCAGTTAAATATGACCGACTCCACTACACAAAAGGATCTTTTATAATACCTAATTCTACTATGATCTGCATGAAAATGCTGATCAATAAGTACTACTTTCTGTTTTCAAGATACAGCAACGCTTCACGGTGAAACACGCTGAATTACTTGCTATAATCCTTATGCGGCGACAGAAATTTGCTTCAAAAAGATTTTATATAAAACAAAACAAAAAAACAAAAACAAAAAACATACGCTTTCTCAGTTAATTTAAATTTCTTTCTGAGTAGTTCCGCCAAATTATCTTCTCGATGTCCCACAGCCCATATGTAAACACATCTAATACTCGTTCTGTCAACATCATTAAAATCAGGTTTTCCGTCCAAAGTTTCACATACTCTAAATAATTCAGCTGTTTCAGCAGCCAACTGAGCTGTCGTATGCTCCTAAAAATGGAACTCCTGAGTATGTCAGAGTACTAATGATTCCAGCCACCACTTCGTCACAATATCAGCTATTTGATTCACAAAGCAAAGTAAATGGTTCACATACTTTCAGTTTATTCAAGCTCATTTCTGCTTTCAACAATCCTTCTATTTTATCCTTATTATCGAAAGGATTCCACGGTGTAGATTCGGATTCCTTCAAATAGTACAACGACTGACGGGCAAAATCGTCTTTCTGCACATACAATGCCAGAAGATGACGAGGTGCTTCCTCCTGCAATTAATCCCTTTTAAGTATATAGTGCATCACAATTGCTTAATTCAAGAAAGTTCTGTCAACTGTATTATATTACCTTTAAATAATCCTGATAGAGACAAAGAGCCTGTGGCAATTTCAACACAAGGTGATCAATGACTTCCTTCTTCTGTGTTCTTTTCAAATAAGTTAGAACATAGTGCACTGAAATGCGTTAACTGTAGCTTAACAGTAATAGTTTCAAAAGTTCCACGATCATTTACGTCAGATTAACTTCAAATAAAATAGTGTACTGATATGATGAATGTACTAATAAAATAAAAAATATCCAAAGGAAATTAAGCACACTTACAAAGATCCGGCTGCTGGCTTTTTGCAGCCTTTGCTAAAGCTCGATCAATTTTATTCAATTTCGTAAGCATTTCGACCTGTCTGTTAAGACATGTTTCTCTGTCTAACAAAAGTTCAGCTAATTCGTTTAAATTGGCACTAGCAGCTTTCATTGCAACATCTGTAAGAATACGTGTCACTGATAACATCGAGCATTTAAAAGACCTTTGCAGGTTATAAATTAAAATGCATCAAGAAAATATCCAACCTGCAAAGCTAACTTCAGGGTAATTTGTAAATTTGCTGACAATCATTTCTGATAAGACTTTAAAATCAAGTATTTTCCCAGCTTCTTTTGCCGCTTTCGCCATCTCAATCTGAATAAACGAGGTATCCATTCAAAAATAGTACACGAAGAAAATTATTGAGAACAATATTCTGAATCAGCAAAAGCCCAGAACCAAAACCACTTAAGACAGAGAAAGCGGATATCAAAATTGGAGAAAAAGAACGAAATAAAAGCAAAGTACTTTCCTATCAAGAAACTACCTTCTTCAGTGCCCAATGAGCTAATATCCGATGAACTCCATTTTTGCAGGGCACCTTCATATACCTGCTTATGGATAGTGCTGAAGGCCACTGTCCCAAATCTGTAAGGCGATCAATCAGGGCACTCATTTTCAGCTCTTCTAACCTGGAACAAGCAATTCGTAATACCTGGATTCAATAATTACGGGATTCTTATAGCGGGAAATCGTTTCAAATATATGTATATACATGTATAATGTGCGAAACCTAATGTCATTTCCGAACTCAGCTGAAACTCTTTTTTAACGGCGAAATGCATCTAAAAATAGCAACTGATTTTAATACACTGTTTTCAAGCCACTGATTTGATTTACTACACTTGATACTAGTTGAAAAACACAGTAACTAATCTTCATATTTTCTCGAAACTACAATTTGAAAAGAAAATAAGTTGTGCCATGATTTTTCAGGATATTTCTAACATTAGCTTTATTTCAAGCTCTAGTTAAGGCCATCAGTCAAACGAACGCACTTAGCAGTCTAATGAAACACAGAAATACAATGCGCTCACTGAATAGTAAAATATTTTTCCTATGTATAGGTACATTTTCTCAAACATATATATATATATATATATATATATATATATATATATATATATATATTACTACTAACTTACTTACTT